CACAACATAGGTTTATTGGAATCAAAGCAAAAATATAAAATATTAGGCTACATCCATGGATATTGTAGTCTAATTGGTTCATGCTCCATGCTAATTGGTGACAATGAATCTCATTATCTTGAAACTTTCATGATTTACTGTAAACGTGGAAGATTGTCAAGTCAAGTCAAGTCACATTTATTTATATAGCGCTTTTCACAATACAGATTGCATCAAAGCAGCTTCACAGTGATAACATGAAAGTAGTACAACACAGTTCAATAATATTGTTGAATATTAAATATCCCCAACTAAGCAAGCCAAAAGCAAGGCGACAGTGGCAAGGAACCAAAACTCCATCAGATTGGATGGAGAAAAAAACCTTGGGAGAACCCAGGCTAGTCAGGGGCCAGTTCTCCTCTGGCTAACAATCATAGGGTTTTAAAGAAGCTTTACAGTAAGTCCATATCAGAGAGTACCTGGAAAAAATACATTTAGTTAATCATGTAATATTTAGGGGATAACATATCGCCGACGTTGAGTCGTCTCTTCGCAGGCGTTGAGTCGTCTCTTCACAGGCGTTGGTCTTCTCATCACAGGCGTTGAGGCATCCGAAATCCCCGTGAGAGGCAGGATACCAAACTGGAGCCTACGAACGCCATTTTTCTCGGGACAAGCGTCCCGAGATAACAGCAGAAAGGCAGATGGGAAATAATTAGCATAGCTGATGTTCATAATGATTTCCATTACACGGGAGTAGGTGTTAGAAAACCATAATCTCACAACTCTCCGTAACCTAAACTCTCCGCAACCCAACCGCAACCATACGGACCGACCCGTTTGTCTATAAGGCTGTCGAGCCCCACTGGTGCGTTAAGCAGTTTCAGTGGCAAACGGTTCCGTATGGCATAGCAGAGGACTAAAAGGTAAGCATTATGTGAATGCTTGACTAAAGAGACACGTCTTTAGTCTAGTTTTAAACTGTGTCAGCGAGTCAGAGCATCGGACCGTATCGGGAAGGCTATTCCAGAGTTTTGGAGCTAAATGCGAGAATGCCCTCCCTCCTTTCGTGGACTTCGATATCCTAGGAATGACCAGAAGCCTTGAATTTAGTGATCTTAGAGAACGCGGTGGATTGTAGGGCGAAAGAAGGTCCGTTAAGTACATAGGAGCTAAACCATTAAGGGCTTTATAGGTCAGTAGTAGTACTTTGTAATTGATACGGAACTTAATAGGTAACCAGTGCAGAGATGATAAAATCGGTGTTATATGATCATATTTTCTTGATCTAGTAAGAACTCTAGCGGCTGCATTTTGCACTAACTGTAGCTTGTTTATTGAGGATGCAGGACAACCAGCTAATAAAGCATTACAGTAATCTAGTCTCGAGGTCATGAATGCATGAACTAACTTTTCTGCATCAGAAACAGATAGCATGTTACGTAATTTAGCAATGTTTCTAAGGTGGAAAAAGGCTGTTCTTGTAACAGATGAAATATGATTTTCGAAAGACAAGTTGCGGTCTAGTATAACACCCAGGTCTTTTACTGTAGTGGAAAAAGTAACAGGGCATCCTTCTATATTAAAGTCGTATTGTAAGAGGTTTTGTGTGTAGTTTTTTGGACCAATAAGTAATACCTCCGTTTTATCTGAATTTAATAGCAGGAAATTACGCGTCATCCAGCATTTTATATCTTTGAGACATTCTGTCAATTTAGATGAGGTAATGTTTTCATCTGGTCGTGATGAAATATATAATTGAGTGTCGTCAGCATAACAGTGGAAATTAATTCCATGTTTTCTTATAATATTACCAAGTGGCAGCATATATATTGAGAATAGCAGAGGGCCTAGCACCGATCCTTGCGGTACTCCGTAGTCTACTGACGTTAACTTTGATTTTCCCCCGTGTAAAGAGACAAAATGATAACGGTCAGATAAGTACGATCTAAACCAGCTTAATGCCTGTCCCTGAACACCAGTGTAGTTTTGTAGTCGATCCAAGAGTATTTTATGATCTATAGTGTCGAACGCGGCGCTAAGATCAAGTAGGACTAGTATTGAGATACAGCCTTGGTCAGAAGCTAAGAGTAGATCATTTGTAATTTTAACTAGCGCAGTTTCTGTACTATGATGCGGTCTGAATCCTGACTGGAATTTTTCATAGATATCATTTTCTTGCAAAAAAGAGCACAGTTGAGCGGATACAACTTTTTCTAGTATTTTGGACATAAATGGAAGATTTGAAATGGGTCTGTAATTTGCTAGGTTATTTGGATCTAGTTGCGGTTTCTTAATGAGAGGTTTTATTACTGCCAACTTGAATATTCTTGGAACATGACCTAAGAATAAAGACGAGTTAATAATATTAAGAAGAGGCTCTTCCACTACAGGTAACACTTCTTTCAGTAGTTTAGTGGGTATTGGATCTAATGAGCATGTTGTTGGTTTAGATGCAATAATAAGTTTATTTAGCTCTTCCTGTCCTATCGTTGCAAAGCGGTGTAGTTGTTCTTGAGGGACGATAATTGAGGCTGAATCATAAGAGACCATAGAGGATTGTACATTTATAATTGTGTTTCGAATGCTTTCTATTTTCTCATTGAAATAATTCATAAAATCATTACTACTAAACTGTAACGGTATATTTTGCTCTGGTGATGTCTGTTTATTTGTTAGTCTAGCCACGGTGTTAAATAAGAACCTTGGATTATTTTGGTTATTTTCTATTAGTTTGCGGAGGTGCTCAGCCCTGGCTGTTTTTAGAGCCTTTTTATAACGTGACATACTGTCTTTCCACGCGATTCTAAAGACCTCTAAATTAGTTTGTTTCCATTTACGCTCTAGGTTACGAGTTTCTCTCTTGATATCATGCGTAACACTGTTGTACCATGGTGCTTTAGTTTTCTCTTTAACCTTTTTTAATCTAATTGGTGCAACAATATCTAATGTACTAGTGAAAATGGTGCTCAAACTGCTAGTCATTTCCTCTAGTTCATCTGTTAGTTTGGGTTCACTGAGCAGCTGAGATAGATCAGGTAAGCTATTTGAGAATCTATCTATAGTGGTTGGAAGGATTGTTCTGCCTGGTCTATAACGTGGCGCAACATGACATATTTCAGCAGTACGTATTATGCACGTTACCATGTAATGATCAGTGACATCATCACTTTGCGGTATAATATCTATATCAGTTGGATTGGTTCCATATGATATAATTAAATCTAGTGTATGATTTAGACGATGAGTGGGACCACGGACGTTTTGCTTGACCCCAAAGGAGTTTAATAAATCTGTAAACGCAGCCCCTAAGGCATCATTTTTGTTGTCTACGTGTATGTTAAAATCTCCAACAATTATTGCTTTATCGACATTGACCAATAGATCCGAGAGAAAGTCTGCAAACTCTTTTAGAAATTCAGCATATGGCCCTGGAGGTCTATATACAGTAGCCAAGGCTAGAGATAATATGGATTTCTTTCTTACATCTAAGAGCGTAACATTTAGCATAAGTACTTCAAACGAATTAAATCTGTGACCTGTTTTCTGAGAAATATTAAGAATATCTTTATAGATTGTTGCAACACCGCCGCCACGACCAGTCAGACGGGGCTCATGCTTATAACAGTATCTTGGCGGAGTAGACTCATTTAGACCGAAATACTCATTTGGTTTAAGCCAGGTTTCAGTAAGGCAAAGTATATCGAAATTATTATCTGTGACCATTTCATTTACAATAACCGCTTTAGGTGTGAGCGATCTAATGTTTAGAAGACCTAGCTTTAGAAATTCTTTTTGTTCACTGATATTTAGATTTTCTGGTTTAATTACAATAAGATTTTTGCTAGATCCTGCTCTAGATTTATTGTTTGGCTTTTAGATTGTGTGTCTGTTTCCATACAACTATGCATTAAGAGTAATGCAACAGTTACTTATCATTTTGAGCAGTTGTATCAATTGATAGTTAGATCATTGTAAGGAAATGAATAGACACTCATTTGAAATGTAATGTGTGAATTGCCTTTTGAAATAGTAGTACTTTGATGTTAAGTTGTGTCATATTGAACAGGTGATTTTTGTTGAATGAACAAATGATCTAAGTTTTATGTGTATTGTATCCAAGCAATTGAGAAAAGGGTTAGAGTTTTGAAAAATGTGCATTTTGATCATTGGTTGTGAGTTTTGTGTCTAGAGTTGTGAAAAATGACATCAAGGTTCTGAAAATAGTAACAAAGTGATTGTAAAAAACTGTATTTCAATCGTCTGTTTTTAATATAATTCTAAATTTTTAATCAACATTTCAGTTACTAACTAACAGAACCAAAATTAACAGAAATGAACAGTTATATTACATATTGAGTAAAAATACATGACATGAACAGCAATAACAAATGAGTTTTTTATAGCCTTACAAATGTATTCCTTTGTGTGTGTGTGTGTGGTGTGTGTGTGTGTGTGTGTGTGTGTGTGTGTGTGTGTGTGTGTGTGTGTGTGTGTGTGTGTGTGTGTGTGTGTGTGTGTGTGTGTGTGTGTGTGTGTGTGTGTATGTGTATGTGCACATTTTCAATGTGTCAGTGTCACCAATTTATTTTTGTTATGTTTCTGCATTTTGGATGATTTTATTTTACAAATGATAAGAGAACAGTTTGTATACGTATATATATATATATATATATATATATATATATATATATATATATATATTAATATGTATATATTTCTGTCTATGTGTTCTGCGTTGTTTCTGATTTTGATGATGAATTTTGTATATTTACTATGCGGGGTCTCCAGGGACCCGAAGACAACTAGTGTCACTATCTTTTTCACGCTAACATAAAAACAGAAATCATTACAATTTTTTTTTTTTTTTTTTGTAGATCTAGAAAGTGTTGAGAGCCGTAGAAAGTTTCATACCATTTGGACAAAGAGAATTATTTAAAAAATTTGAGCAAAAGTCATTTGCGGGTTAAAAAGACCCTGAAGAAAACCAGAGGCTTAATGTGTGTCATTGTTCTCTACAGGTTGAGTAAGTGTGGAGTCACAGATGAAGGTTGTGTTGCTCTGGCTTCAGCTCTGAGATCAAACCCCTCACACCTGAGAGATCTGCATCTGTCTGGGAATAAACTAGGAGACTCAGGAATAAAGCATCTTTCTGATCTACTGGTGAATCCTCTCTGTAAACTGGAGACACTGTGGTAAGATCATCTCTACCATAAAGACTCTGAGTGAATAAGGATTAATATGTAGATAGTGTATATAATATATGTGTGGCGTAAGCCCCATCCGGGGTTAAAAATAACAATAATGCTATCAGTCAAATTCATCTTTACTTTGTTTATTTTGTGTTATTTTTGAGAAAGAAGAATCACTCCATCACATACAAAAGGAACAATTACACTTAATGCGACCAGTTTGAAATAATGGTGACACTTTATCACAAGTATACAGTAACACAGCGCTTATAAATCATTTGCAAACTATTAGTTTATAGTTCACGAATAGTATATAAGCTGTTGTTAAATTAATTATTACTAGATTGTTGTCATGAAACAACCGGACACAGATAGATCCAAGTGCAGCGTAGGTTTAATTACAGGGTAGTCAGACAGGCAAGGGTCACAGACAGCAGACACAGCATAGGAGACAAAGCTAAATCGTGGTCCAAATACCGGGCAAGAGATCAGAGGCTGGCAGCAGACGATACGAAATCCAGGAACACAGGCAGAAGGTCGGGAAACACAGGCAGGATATTAGGCATGGAAATGCTCTAAAGCAGACTAGGAAACACTAGAAATAGACCACGACAGTGACATACAGTCATACAATACTACGCAAAGAGTGATAGTGACAGTGAGGTATAAATGTGTGTGGAGCTGCGTGTAGAACTAGATGCAGGTGTGAGAGTGATCAGTGGAAACAGGTGTGTGAGTAATCAGTCCAGGGTGTGTGCGTGAACAGTCCAAGGGAAGGCAGTGCAGAGGTGGAGCGCCCTCTCGTGGCACTCGAGGGCAATCCAGCCGAACATCGTCACAATTGTAGAGCCCGACTGATATATCGGCGGGCCGATATTAGGCATTTTCCAAACTATCGGTATCGGCATTTATAATGGCCGATAAATGAATATTTTAAAAAATGCGGGTGAGGTGATTCATGTAAGGGTGGCGCTGCCAATAAAGCACCTAAAAGCTGTCACAAAGAACTGGCAAAAGTAATGATTATGAATACAACAAATATAGCAAGTAGGGGTGTAAATCGGAGCCTACATGGCGATTCGATACGATACCGATTTCTTAAGCCAACGATTCGATTATTTTCGATACTTCAGAATTCCCCGCGATACGATACGATTCGATACGATTCAATAATCGATATTTTTACATATCTATTAAGTTTCAAATAAATCAACAATTTTGTTTTATAATTTGCCTTTTATTGAGAATACAGGAACAGTATTCTATTCACATAATGTGTATATTGTGCTCAATGCACTGCAAATAGAACAGCAAATATAACAGTTACTGAATACAGTTCAAAACTTGATTCTATCGAATCCTGGTGCGTTTCCGTGCATCTTACGTCATCGCAAACGTGCACGGCGCATGATAGAAAACAGAACGCGGGTCAATATATTGTGTTTTTTTATTTTATTTGGTGCTATTATGCACAGCTGAGTGAACAACACCGGTTTACTGTGTGTCGCATTTGGCTTTTTGCTGATTGCAAACGCAGGAGACAGTGGATTTCCATTAATTTGTTGCCCTGAGTCCACGCGCTATGTGTGTGCGAATACAGACTCACTCTCGCTCTTATCCAAGGTAAATTATCAACACTATCATCCCTTACATGTGTTTTATTTAACTAAATACATCATAATCAGCTAAAAAGCATGCGCAGGTCACTTACTTCCTGAACAAGTGCGCACCCGAGTCCGTGATGCTTTCACATTCACGTGAGCCGCGGCACGGTTCGAGTGCAACCGAACTCAGCGCACCTCCTCCAGGCAGTCTCGGGTTTGGTACCCCAGTGCGCACCCGGGTCCGCATGACAGACAGCGTTTACATAATTAGCGATTTTTCATGCGAACCGTGCCCGTTCCGATCCGAGTTGGTGTGAAAGCACCCTAGACTTTTCAAGTAAGCTGTTGAAGTAGCCTTTTGTACACATTAGCGCCTGTTTGTTTACGTTAGTAACTGCTAGTTTGGAGTTCGCCAACTAAGTGACTGAGGGTGCATTCACACTGGCAGTTTAGTTCGGTGACTAACTAACGTTAGCCCAGTGCATAACAACAATCGTTTGTACGCATATGAGCGGATGCTGAAAATAGACAGGCGGCAAAACAAACACATTAATCGATACTCTTGCGGACGCATCGATGCATCGAATCGTCGGCTGTATAATCGATACGAATCGATTAATATTTACACTCCTAATAGCAAGGAGACATTTTAATTGTTTATTAATAAACAAGTGTTTTCAGTCAGTGTCAGCCAAAGATGAAGTTGACGAGGCTGACTCGCGATCTTCAGTGAAGATAGAGAGAAATGCACATTTCATACGATTACATGAGTCTGTCTGTCTTTCGTTTTGAATTGTTCTGTTTAAAAGTAGACATTTCAATATAGATATATTTCAATTCTCAGGTCTATACGCTGAGTTTCGGTTCATGAGACGAGCTCCAGTTCACCCGCAGGCGCCTCCGTGTCGAGATTATCTATCGTCTGCTATATTTACTTCTTAAATCCAGGCAATTGGTTGATGAAACATTGATTAAAATTAAGATACAATTAATACAAAACGAAATTCACTTTGAAACGAAAGGTTTTGTGCTTTCTGTTTGATGTCTATGTGAAAGTTTCAAAGCATTTTAGTGCCGCTTTCAGAGCGCTCACGTCCGTAGTGCTGAACTGTCGCGTCTGTAACATTGTTTTTTCCTCATAAATGCGAACACGAAAAATAAAATGAATATTTTATGTAGCCTGTGGAGACTGAGAGCCAACCCTTCTTCATCCGGTGGGTAGTAGCCTACTTGTGATTTGCGCTGTGTAATTCACAGAATTGATTTCTCTGCTACAAGCCTCTGTCACGTATTGTGTGAGCTTGTGACTATTGCAAGTGCGCAGCTGAGAAGTCCTGATTATATTGTCTGCTATATTTAGGCCTACTTCTTATTTATTAAGGCAATTGGTTGATGAAACATTGATTAAAATGCGTGGCGCGAGCGATCTTCGACAGTAAACTGATTCTGCTTTGTCTCGGGTAATCAGCTGTTGCGACGCGAGCAGTAACGGCCGCGTCCGGTGTAGACACCGTGTTAAAGCTCATTCTGCCTGATAACGCTACGTTACAACATCAAGCAATATTCCAAAAATGTATATAATTATAACACTTTATATAGGGCCATTTTGCATTAAGAGTAGCCTAGTTTCACGTTTAATACATTTTGCTTACTAATTATTTAAAATAGTATAAAAGTACTGTATACATATGTAATTAAAAACGTTTTCATTATGATATTATTAATTTTACTTTAGTAAAAAGATCTGAGTTCTTCCTCCACTGGTAGAGATTAGAGGAATTAAGACTAAAAATAGAAGATAATAAGGTTTTGTCAGTGACACTTTTTATATATTTATTGATACGTTATGACTAAATTAAAAGACAAAGTCGTTTGTGAAGATTATGCAACAGTATTTAGAATATAATATAATATAACATGCAATGCAAACTAGTTTGGTTACAGCTCAACTGTATAATTCTCATTATATCATCCCCCCTGCCTCCATCTGTGTCACACAAGAGTTTGATCACCACATTTGAGTGATCATTGCAAAACGTGTTTATAAAATATATTTATTCTGTTTATACTGTGTAAAGTACCCATCAAAAGTTTGTACACACCAATAGGAAAGTGTCCAAACTTTTGACTGGTATACTGTACTATAATACACATAAATAATATTGCTACTGTATTATAATATACACATAAATAATATCGGCATCGGACTTTTTTTACTCCCTAATATCGGTATCGGCATCGGCCCCCAAAAATCCATATCGGTCGGGCTCTAAAAGATTGTATTATTATTATTATTATTAGACTATATACAAATAATTGGGTGCCGATACTATAAGTGTTGTGATTTTTAAGAATAGCGATTCTACAATATTGTGATTCGATATTGCAATGTATTGTGATTTGTTTTTAACACTAGACTATGGAGAAAAGTTAAATCATACACTTATACAGACTGTACATGATGAATAAGATGAGTCATATTTACAAAAACAATTCATCACATCTCTGAGTTTTATTTCAGGAGCATCATACAGTAATACACTCTCTTGAATAAATAATTCAATAAATACATTTTTTAACAGTCACTTGTCGCCACCTAGTGGCAAAACAATGTAATTGATAAATGCATTATTTTAACGCATGATTCAACCGATGATTTTGTCAAAGGTTTAATAGACAGACGAATTGGAAGAAGATCGTAAAACAGTAAACAAAAAAATTGCGATAGTTTGGTGAATCATTTTTTTCTCCCAGCCCTAACACACGCACACACACACATTCCTTTAAATATTTACAAATACATTAAGCACACACACACACACACACACACGTTTTCCATGTTTTATGGGGACTTTCCATAGAAATGATTTTTATACTGTACAAACTGTATATTCAATCCCCTAATCATAACTGATGTATTTTAACAACATGAACTAATGAGTATTTGTATATATTTCATATTGACAGCATTATGTTATTTATAGTTTAAGTGTTGTGTTTATCTCTGGATATAGGCTTAATGTGTGTCATTGTTCTCTACAGGTTGAGTAAGTGTGGAGTCACAGATGAAGGTTGTGTTGCTCTGGCTTCAGCTCTGAGATCAAACCCCTCACACCTGAGATATCTGGATCTGTCTGGGAATAAACTAGGAGACTCAGGAATAAAGCATCTTTCTGATCTACTGGCGAATCCTCTCTGTAAACTGGAGACACTGGGTCAAGATCATCTCTACCATAAAGACTCTGAGTGAATAAGGATTAATATGTAGATAGTAGGGGTGTGACGAGATCTCGTCGAGTGAAAAGCTGTCTCGCGATATGGCCATGACTGAACGTGAGATTACCATAGAATATTCCACCGCTACACTCACATTCGCCTAAACTATCGTTTTGTTGTTTT